TAGACCTTAAATCTGGCTATTTTCAAATCCCAATTCGTGAAGAGGATAAAGAAAAAACAGCTTTTATCGTTCAAGATGGTCATTGGGAATTCAATGTGCTCGCTCAAGGACTAAAAAATGCTCCACCCACATTTCAACGCATCATGAATGAATTATTAGTTTACCAAAAATGGGATCATTGTTTAGTATACATCGATGACATAATTATTTTTTCCAAGTCATTTCAACAACATTTAGAACAATTGAATGACATTTTAGCAGTCTTAAACAAGGCAAATTTTACATTGAACGCTCCTAAATGTTCGTTATTTCAAACCACCATAAATTATTTGGGGCATACTATTAACAACAATGGCATTACCCCGTTAATGAATACGATCAAGGCTCTTGTTGAGTTACCAACGCCCAAATCTATCAAAGATGTCGATGCATTTGTTGGAGCAGCAGGATTTTATCGGAAGTTTATTCCACAATTCTCAACAATCGTATCTCCACTAAACAAATTGACCAGAAACCGAAAACAAAAATTTTATTGGCATCAAGAACAGCAACAAGCATTTGAACAATTGAAGAAAATTTTATCAACAGAGCCCTTATTATTATCTTTCCCTGATTCAACATCGCCGCTCGTCCTCTCGACTGACGCATCAGATATTGGTTATGGTGGCGTTCTAAAACAGATTACAAAAGCTGGTCCACAACCACTTTGTTATTTATCACGTCGACTGAAACCAGCAGAAAAACGATATAGTACAACTGAGAAAGAATGTTTGGCAATGGTTCGATGTATTGATGAATTTAGACCCTATTTATTGGGACGCGAATTCACGGTGGAAACTGACCATTGTCCTTTATGTAATTTTCACCGCAAATCATCGAAAAATGGACGAGTAGATAGATGGTCAATTGGATTAGGTGAATATGACATTCTTGAAATTAAATACAAACGAGGTAAATGTAACTGTGACGCTGATTTAATGTCAAGGTATCCTCCAACACCAACTAATGCTGATGATACCATCATCACAAGAAATGTTAAGAATAAAATAGATGGCACTACATTTGACAACGATGCGGAACACACTGCTGAAGTCAATGTCCTCACACGATCAGCAGCTCGAGCACGGACGACAAAGGGCGATAAGCGCATTACCACCACAACAGACACACATCCTAATCCAGGAACAAATACAAAGTCTCGGCAGCTTCGTCCAAGAAATAAGACATTAAACTACCAGGTGTCAAACTATTTAGTATCCTCACAATCATCAACAATGAAACAACAATCGCCGAGCAATCCTGCTCCATCATCATCCCTTATGTTTGATTTTGATATTAAAAAATTGAAAGATGAACAACATCGCGATAAATCGATTCGACAAAAAATTAACCAGATAAAGCGTAATCCACAGACAACTTTATATGAAGTAGTTGATGATACGTTATATAAAATTGTATTAAGAGATGGTCAAAAGCGACTTAAACTACCGTATCTGCCACCATC